GAACTTGCCAAAACAAGGTGGGACAGTCCTTCAGGTTCCTGCTTCATGAAAGAGTCTGGCAGACATTCTGCAGGACATAAAGTGACTGATGAATTTTGCCAAAATAGGTGGGACAGTCCTTCAAATTTCCTGCTTCACTGAGAAATCTGCCAGACACTCTAGGTCTATAGGCTGAAGATAGATACTTCAATATTGCAGAAGAACTTTGGATGACTGTCCAGGCAGCCAGATGTCTCTGTCATTTCTAGAATTTTGGAAGTTGCTTGCAACGTACTTCCTGTTTATTCAGGTAATATTATATCCTTCTGGGGTCTTTGATGGAGTTGAAGAATAGATTAGTTATGATAAAAGATAAATTAGATATAAAACTTTAGACTCACAAAATAGAGTATTTTCTTTAGTTTTGCCAAATACAAATAGACTAAATATCATAACTGTAATTCTTGTTTGATACCTGTTTTGTTATATGTAATTTTACAATGTTAAAGTTAAAACCTTCCTTTTTAACTAGACAGAAAAGGGGAAATGATGTGGGATGTCCTTCTGTATGCTGCGAATATGTGTTGCTTTTATTGGTTGATGAATAAAGCTGCTTTGGCTTATGGCAGGGCAGAATATAGCCAGGCAGGAAATCCAAGCAGAGATACAGGGAGAAGAAGGGCAGAGTCAGGCACAGACACCATCCAGCCACCCAAGGAGCAAGATGCCAGCAGACCAGTAACACCACAGCCATGTGGCAAAATATTGATTAATAGAGATGGGTTAATTTAAATTGTAAGAGCTAGTTAGTAATAAACCTGAACAATAGGCCAAGCATTTATAATTAATATAAGCCTCTGAGGTGATTATTTTGTAAGTGACTGCGGACCAGGTGGGACACAGAAAAGCCTCTGGCTATACCATCCTCATGTTTTTTTCAAGTCAAAGATTTGGTAAACATTTGACCAAAAATGTTGTAAAAAAATTGTTTAAAAATGTTACTAAAAAAAATAATCTGGCCAGTGGTGGTACATGCCTTTAATCCCAGGAGTTGGGAGGCAGAGGCAGATGGATCTCTAGTAGTTCGGGGCCAGCCTGGTCTACAAAGAAAGTTCCAGGACAGTCAGGGCTCTTACAGGGCTCTTACACAGAGAAACCAACCAAAATTTAAAAAAAAAAAAAAAAAAAGATAATGATTTATTTCATTACTTTGGGTGGGACAGGAAGCAAGATGGGGTGATGAGAGATTTAGAAAAGTGGACAAAAATCAGTGGTGGAATGGTGCCTTCCTAGAAGGTACCTGTTCCTCTTGAACTGTAGGCAGTAACACAGAATACAGTAGCACAGAATGGACTGAATCAGAACAGGAGTGAAGGTAAGAGGAGGGAGTAAAATCACCTGGAGATCAGACTAGTAAGCCTGAGAACAAGTCAAGGTATGCGGACGGCCAGTGCTCTTGACAGTCACAAAGCCAGGCTTGACCTCCTGCCAGGGAAAAATACTGTTGCTGGGAGAATGGGACTAATTACCACTCTGAAAAGGCTTCAAGACTCTAGGGACCCGAGGTAACCAATCCTTGGGAAACTGGTAACACCAGTTGTACTGTGATTGCTAATGGTGGGAGGGCTTGGTCACTAACCCCTATATCGTCCCTCCCTATCCCACTCCTGGAGTGGAGGAAGACAATTTGGAGCCAAGGCTGAAGCAGAAACTGCCTGCTCCCATTGGACCACAGCTGAAGTCAGGAGGAGGAAGAAGGGTCCAGAGATCAGAAAGGAGAGTAATGTGAGTGGAAAAGCATACCAAAAATTCAAGGATCGTCACACCAAAGGCCCAAAGCAGCCACACGTAGAGGTGTGGCCCAGAATCAGGAAACAAACAACAGGGAATCAGAGAATCGATAGCAAACTAGAAGAGAATAAAGTGAGTGTCTGAAGGACAAGGAGAAAACACTGAGGTGTGGGGTCATGGCTGGATCTGAGTCTACAAGACCAGGAACCCAAGCTGCCTGGGAAGTAAGGTGCAGGCCAGGACAAAACTTGGGTCAGCAATGGTAGGCACTTAAAGAGCACTGCTAGGTAGGAACTCTCCTGTCACCTAGGAGCTCATGCTCTACCGTCGGGTTCAGTGATGGTGCATAACCATAAGAAAGTGCTCTGGACTAAAGTTATGGTAGTAATTTTCCTTCCCCCAAATCTGAGACACCCTGCCATTGCCGAGTATTTCTGGGAAATGGGCAAAGGAAAAATGGGCTGAAATGGCAGTTCAATCTGACTACTATATGGGACTTGACTTCAGGTAATAAATTAAGTCCCCCTTTTTTGGAAACCACTTAGAACAATCTGAGTTCACACTCCTAATTACCTGCTTCTGAGTATTCTGTGTCTAAACCCTAACTGGGACCATTTTACTTCTGGCACCTTGTATTTCAGTCTGGGTCTCAGTCCAGGAGCACTGCAAGGTTCATTCTAACCCTATTTGCAGGATGAAATAAACCCAGAAATAACTTCTCTCAGGATCTGTGTTTAGTGAGAGCTAGGAGTGGCAGCACACACCTCTAATCCTAGCACTTGGAGGCTAAGGTAGGTGGATCTCTGTGAGTTCCAGGGCTACACAGAGACCCTGTCTCAAAAAAAACCAAAATCAAGTAAAATAAAATAAGATGGAGATAAGGCTGGAAAGTGGTGGTTGTGGGATCCTGGTCTATGCCCACAGACACACTACTCTGCAGTGATTACAGGGAAGACCAGAGCGAAGGTGAATAAATTTATCAAAGATATTGCAATAGTAGGAACTTCATTCTAAGATGCATTGTCCTTGGTGGCAAGCACGGAGGAACCAGAACTTCATCTCACAGGAAGAGATGCATTGTCCTTGGTGGCAAGCATGGAGGAACCAGAACTTCATCTCACAGGAAGAGATGCATTGTCCTTGGTGGCAAGCACGGAGGAACCAGAACTTCATCTCACAGGAAGAGATGCATTGTCCTTGGTGGCAAGCACGGAGGAACCAGAACTTCGTCTCATAGGGAGACTTAATGATCTAGACGTGGGAAGTCGTGGAACTACTAAGCAGGTGGAAGTCTGTAAGCTGCTACTTGTTTTAAGAGTTTTTAACATATATATAATTTATTTTTATTTCATTCAAATTGAATTGGTGTTTTGCCTGCATGTGTCTCTGTGTGAGGATGTTGGATTCTTTATAATTGAAGCTACAGTGGTGAGCTGCCATGTGGGTGCTGGGAATTGAACCCCGGGTCCTCTGGAAAAACAGCCAGAGATCTTATCTGCTGAGCCATCTCTCCAATCCCCTTTTAAGAGTTTTGTTAGATAATATCTTTGTGAGACAAGATCTAGCTTCCAAGGAACTTCAGAACTGAAGATCTAACTGCTTCTGCCTCCCAAGTGCCGGGACGCCCAGCCTTGAAACTTTCTGAAAGCAGGAGAGAGAGAGTAAAGACAACTACGTTGAACAGTGCTGGGCACGACTATCAGCCGGTATTATTTACTCCTTAGTAAACACAGTCACTAACGTCAGAACCCCTGGGTAAGGCAGACACTGGCCGGTGCTGTGAGATGCTGTTGTCTCCCTGTCCTCTGCTCCCTGGTAGGCATTCCGAGATGCTCTCAGTCTATATGGAGCACTTGCTACCACCCACTTGAGACGAGTTTCATTCCGTGAACTCTGGCAGGGAGGTAAGAAGAGGCTGTTTAAATTTACAGAGCCTGCTTTAGGGGGGTCCGATTAGCTATGCTAACAAGTGAGTTATTACAAACCTACCCGCAGACACTGGGGTAGGCAGCAATTTATAAACTACTAGCATAAAATTAAGCGCAGAAGAGAGGAAGCCTAGCGTTTCAAATTACTCATCTGCAGCACCATTACCACCACCACCCCGACTTTAATATTTTAGCCCTAAAAGTGTCATCATTTTTCCAAGCCTCATGCTGTACCACCTCCGGGGTATCCTTCTCTCATCTCATGGCCCTTTGTCTCCCTCTTCACAGATGTAGTTACAAAAACACCTCCCCCATAAACACCATTTACCCTCGGCAATCTCACTTCAGGGCTTCACACCTTCACACCGTTGATGCTCACTGTAGAGAGCCGTGCACGGCCGTGCCTCAAAGACGGCACCGGCGTCCGGCTTCTGCCTTCCCGATGGCAGGTGCTCCTTATTTGGCTAAAGCTAGGATCCGGCTTGCTTCCGCACACCTGGACCTAATCTGGCTTGCTTGCGTATGTCTGACCCTATCGGCATTGTCCACGTGGCACTATGGGGTTATTGCCCAGTGGCTATAAAGGGCGTGGGCTGGCTTTCCCCGAGAGAGATCGGAGGAGATGGGAGATGGGAGATGGGAGATGGGAGATCGGAGGAGGAGGAGGAGGAGGAGGAGGAGGAGGAGGAGGAGGAGGAGGAGGAGGAGGAGGAGGAGAAGAAGAAGAAGAAGAAGAAGAAGAAGAAGAAGAAGAAGAAGAAGAAGAAGAAGAAGAAGAAGAAGAAGAAGATGAAGATGGCTTTCCCCGGGGTCAGAAGATTGTCTCAAGGTTCCTGAATAAACTGCTTGGAGAAGAGCCTGGTGTTGCGTCTTCCTTGCTGGTCGAGGCGGACGCGACAGCTCACAACACACCTGACTTCAGCTGTTTCGGCCTCAGTTACTAAATAAATGTGGGAGGGTGTAAATTGGCACCATATCCCAGACTCCCTTAATGTAGGACCTGAGCAATTACTTGACTTCTTCATGTGACATTATGGTCTTCACCTTGGTCTCATGGCTTAAATGTTCTCGGGCCAAACCCTTCTCTTCTAGCAGAAGGAACACCCAAAAGAATGGTGGTCCAAAGCACAGGAGAATGAAACAATCCTAGCTCTGTCAGGGGAGGGGAGCTCTGTGAGGTAAGTATTGGAGGCCAACCCTGAATCATTTGGACTAGATCACACCACTCAATAAATCAGCATGCCACTGCCTTCTGTATTATACCTCTCGGGCCCTGACTGTGAAGCAGGCTGAAACTGCAGCACTTTGGGGGTCCCCTCAGAAGAGTATGTCTTCCTGGGCACAGAAATAGACTCCTACCCCTGCTTCTCACTGGCATGATCCCCTGGACAGCATGATGTGCAGAACAGCCCTAAGCCCGAGGTTAGTGCAGGATAGCCCTAAGCCCGAGGTTAAGCTAAAGAAATGAAGAGCAAGCTAGAACTGGAAGTCAACAGTCACAAGCCCTCCAAGATGGTGGGGAACAGCAAGGAAGAGAACCCCCGTAGTTCAGTATTACCGGTGAACCCTGCCGAGTGCGAAGGAAGAGCATAAGACAGAAACTAGACGAAAAGCAGATGAGGACAGCTTCCTGGTCAGGTTCTAGCTACCTCAGGCTCATTTCACCAGTATGTGAACCAATTCCGAGCAATCCTAGTGGGAATGCTTGCTGAGGATGGCCCCTGAAGAAGCTGGCTGCCAAGGGGGTGGATTCTGGGATTTGACAGAGGCAGAGACATTTCCCCACCAGCTTTCTGCTGCAAATGACTCCACGTTTCAGAATTTGTTATCTTTTCCCTCACATATAAGCTAGGTTTATATAATTTCACCTATATAATTTCCTTTGAATGGTCATGTGGGAATACAAATTTCTAAGTTTAGGCTCATTCTTCAAAACACTAGCTATAACCTTGGCAGACTTTTTCTCATGGTCAGATTTCTTTCAGAATGAGTCTAGCGGTTTCTTTATCTAAATTTAATTCTTCAGTCATCATTCTCACCGTTAACTGCCTGTTTGAATAAACCAAGTCCTTGAACTTCTGGATATTTTCATCCGTCCTGTGGGTGACTGGACGACCACTTTGTGCATCATCTCGGACATTTCCCTGCCCTACTTTAAACCTTCTGTGCCAGTCAAAAACTCAAGCCTTCAACACCACTTCATTCCTGTAGGCTTTCAAAAGATGGTGGGTCTTACTTGCAGAGTTGTTCAATTTCACGCAAAACTTGATGCTAATCTTTTGTTCTAAATAGCGATCACTCATTTTGGCACTAAGCCATACGGGGACATTATCAGGGCACGACTGTGAGAAGCCCGAGGTATCAATCTCTAGGGTGCTGCTGGCCTAATCATTTCGCTATTCCTGCCCTTCTGGAAGCCACCAGGGAATTTAGTGCTTTTCTGAGTTTTCGCCCTTAGCGTCTAGTCGAGGTACGGGGCTGGCAATCTCGCACTAACCGGGTCATAGAGTAACTGAGAGGCAAAGCTGGGAAAAAAATTAAATCCTCTACAATCCATGTTTGCGTCCAACCCGTGCGTGGAGTTTGCAAAGCAGTCACCAAGGTCGTCCCGATTCTGGGGCCCTAAGAGTCTACGGCGACTCATGCAATGGACACATAAACAGTGGCAACTTAAACAAGCAGGGATGACACGGTCGTGGCGTAACGTTCGAACTCGCTCCAGACCTGGAGAAACCCGCACACGACAAACCTACCGAAGAAAGCCCGGGTTCCGTCCCGGAGTTCCGGGAGGCTAGGCCGCATGCGCAATTCCTCCCTCGCGCGGGTTGGGTTGTGCGCGTGCGCACGGGGGGCAGCTGCGGCGGGCCCGGCCACCTCCCCACCACACCCGGCCAGACGCGCTCGCGTGCGCATGCCCGCCCGCGGGAAAGGTCGCCGGCGAGGAGGGCGGGGGAGGAGGGCTGAGAGAAGAGAGGGCACCCTCGAGCGCCAGGGTGCATTGTGGGAAGGAGGCGGCAGCGTCCCGGGCGGGCTGGAGGTGCAGCAGCGGTGGCGGCGGCGGTAAATCCTCCCGGCCGCTCACAGCACTGTGGAGCCGCGGCCCCAGCCCGGCCTCGGCCCGCGCGCCCCTCCTGCCCCTCGCGGCTCCGCGAGTCAGCCCCTCCTCCGCGCGCGGCCTTGCGGAGCCGGCCGGCCGGCCCAGCTCCCCTCCCCGGCCCCGCGGGGCGGCCGTGCTGCCCTGACGAGGCGGGGAGGGGAGGGCTGGACCGGCCGGTGGCCGGGCGACCATGCCGAACTTCTGCGCAGCCCCCAACTGCACACGGAAGAGCACGCAGTCGGACCTGGCCTTCTTCAGGTTCCCTCGGGACCCGGCCAGGTGAGCGGGGCGCGGAGGCGGCGGGGACCTCGGCGCACGTGCGCTCTCGGGGACCTGGCTGAGAGGGTGCCACCCGGGGCCGCGAAAGCGGATGAAGTGGGCGCCGAGCGCCTTCGGTCGTCCGGCTCTATTCCTTGGCTGTCAGAGAAAGGTTAGGACTCCAGGGTTGTGTTCCTGGCGGCCCTGCCTTCCCCCGCGTCAGCCGTCTCTTCTAGGGCAGTGTTTCTGTTTGGAGTCGGGCCGCTTTCTTTGATCTTCAATCAGGTCACAACTGCTGCCTCCTTCGGACTTGTCATCGCAGTGTTCAAATGCAGACCGTTACTCGTTGTCTCCCTTGGTTATTGTGGGGAAACTCAGAGGATGTGTGTGAGGGCGTGGGAATAGGTACTGAAACTTCACTTCTCCCTTGGGGTAGCTCATCCTTTGGGTCGTACTTTGAGAGACATAGGGACTTAGTGTGATAGGCTGCAGGTGTGTTTCACGGGGCTCTAGTGTTGGTTCATTCATTTAAAGTCGGTGCGTAACCATGTTTGGAGTATTCATGTCAGGTGCTGGGAACTCTGCGAGTGCTGTCACGGACCGCAGAAAGCGCCCAATCCATGGAGGGAGCAGATCTATCAACAGGCGTTGTAATGTAGCATGTTATTTATTAGTTGAACAAATATTTATTGAAAGCCTACAGTTGGTAGAAATTGGTCTGAGCGCAGGGGGTGGGTAACAGATGAACCATTGAAAGTCCCTGCTCTCAGGTTACGTTCAAGGGGTGGGAAATTGGCAAGTAAAATATTTACAGTAGCGTACCCAATAATGGAAAAATACCCTGAAGAAAAGTACAGCAGAGGTTGGAAGGGTTTAAAAGTAGCCGGGGAGCAGCTGGAAAGATGGCTCAGCGCTGAAGAGAACTTGCTGAGCTTGCAGAGGACCTGGGTTCTGAACCCACATCAGGTAACTTAACCACCTGTAATTCCATTTTCAGGGGATCATCGCACGCGCAACCTCTTCTGGCCTTTGTGTGTACCAGACAGGCTCAAAGTGTAAAACACTCATGAAAATAAGCAAATAGATTTTTAAAAAGTATAGCCTGGGAGCTGAGCATGGTGACATGTTCTGTAATCCCAGCTCTGAGGAGGCAGGGAGAATTAGCTTGAGTTTTGAAGCCAGCCTGAGTTAAAGTAAGTTCCAGGCCGTTTAGAGCTACGATTGTGAGATCTTGTGTCATCCATTAAAAACAAAACAAAACAAAACAAAAAACCAAATGGTAACAAGAGAGGCACAATTGCTATTTTAAACAGAGGGGGGAAAAAAGTCCCACCACAGTGAGTTTGAGCAAGGAGTTGAATTAGGGCAGGGGACAGCCATGAAATATCTTAGGAAATCTGGAAACAGGAAGAGTGGAGTCAAGGCATGCTTGCTGATGAGGTGTGTATGGGAGTCACAAATCGTTTAGGAAGTTGTTGTCCGTGGAAAACACTCTGACGTTTATCTGAGTGAAATGGGAGATCTTAGAGCTGAGAGGGTTCTTAACGGGATTACTGGCTGCTCGTTAATTGTAGGGAACAAGAGTGAAAGCAGGAAGACCAGTGAAAGATTGTTGCAATAATCCAGATCCGTAGAAGAGGAGGAAGAGGTACGATGCATTTTAGATAAGGTTTGGCAATAAAGCCAACATGATCTACTAGTTGGGATAAGGGTTTTAAGAGAAAACAGAGTCAAGGGTAACTCCTGAGATTATGTATGTGTATGAGGATAGCATAGGTACACAGGCGTCCTGCTCTGTTTCTCTCCTCATTTCCTTGAGATAGGATCTCTGACTGAACCTGTAGCCAGGCTAGTGGCCAGCAAGCCCCCGCAGCCCTCCTGTCACCACTCCCTGTAGTGATGGAGTTACAGACACAACCTTTTCTCAGATCCCCACCCTTGCACAGTAAGTGCTTTCGCTCGCGATTGAGCCATGTCTCCTAGACTCCTGGAATTTTGAACATAAAACAGTTACTGACATAAGAAGGACTGGGAAATACAGTTTGTTGGGGGGATATTAAAAGTTTGTTTTGTAATGTGACATCTGACAACAGGCTTGTGACCGGCTTGGTGGGCATTCCAAAGGTGTCTTCAGCCCGGGGATGGAGTTCATTGCTAATGACCTTGATCAGCATACATGAGATCCTAGGTTCTATCCCCCGTACTGGGGGGAAAAATAGGTATCTTTATACTACATACAGAAAGGAATTTTATTTTATTTTATTTTATTTTATTTTTTTTTTTTTTTTTGGTTTTTCGAGACAGGGTTTCTCTGTGTAGCTTTGCGCCTGTCCTGGAACTCACTTGGTAGCCCAGGCTGGCCTCGAACTCACAGAGATCCGCCTGGCTCTGCCTCCCGAGTGCTGGGATTAAAGGCGTGCGCCACCACCGCCCGGCTTTATTTTATTTTTTATTTATTTATTTATTTTGTTTGTTTTTGTTTTTCGAGACAGGGTTTCTCTGTGTAGCTTTGCGCCTTTCCTGGAACTTGCTTTGGAGACCAGGCTGGCCTCGAACACACAGAGATCCGCCTGACTCTGCCTCCCGAGTGCTGGGATTAAAGGCGCCACCACCGCCCGGCAAAGATTTATTTATTTATTATGTATATAGCATGGTCCCCTCATGAAGAGGGCACCTGATCTCATTACAGATGGTTGTGAGCCACCATGTGGTTGCTGGGAATTGAACTCAGGACCTCTGGAAGAGCAGTCAGTGCTCTTAACCTCTGAGCCATCTCTCCAGCCCAGAAAGGAATTTTAAATGGCTGCTTTCTCTTTCTCTACATTGTTGTCATTACCTTTTTTTTTTTTTTGGCTTTTTCAAGACAGGGTTTCTCTGTGTAGCCCTGACTGTCCTGGAACTTGCTCTATAGACCAGGCTGGCCTCAAACTCAGAAATCTGCCTGCTTCTGCTTCCTGAGTGCTAAGATCAAAGTCATGTGCCACCACTCTTGGCATAGATTTCTGTTTTAAGTCTATTTATAAATATGTTCATATATTTTTAACTAACCTTCGGTATGTGGTCTGTGGCCTTTTAAAAGAGATCTTTGCCTACTCCAAATGTATTTATTTTATTTGTTTATTGGAGACAAGATCTCATTCTAGCTTAGAATTCACTATATAACCCAGGCAGGCCTTAAACTAGCTGTAATCCTGCTTCAGTTTCCCGAGTGCTGGGATTACGGGTATGAACCACTATACCCAGCTTATTTTATCTTTAATATTTAGACTTACAGTCACTTGTAACTTATTTTTGTTTATGTTGTGAAACTACTGGTCAAGATTTAATTTCTTCATATGGATATCCTACTCAGCACTGTTTGTTTAAAGAAAAAATCCATCTATTCTGCTGTTCTAAGCTACTTTGGGTTTTTTGTTTGGCTTTTTAAAAGTATTTTTGGTTTTGTTTGGGGACTGAATTGAATCAGTAAATCAATATGGGGGAATGATTTGCTTAGAATCAGATGTTTCATGAACTTGTATGGCTCCATTTGTCTTTAAGAGACAAATATGAGCTGGGCGGTGGTGGTGGTGGTGGTGGTGGTGGTGGTGGTGGTGGTGGTGGTGGTGGTGGTGGTGGTGGTGGTGGTGGTGGTGGTGGTGGACACCTTTAATCCCAGCACTGGGAGGCAGAGGCAGGCGGATCTCTGTGAGTTCGAAGCCAGCCTGGGCTACGGAGTGAGTTCCAGAAAAGGCTCCAAAACTACACAGAGAAACCCTGTCTCACAAAACAAAAAAAAAGAGAGAGAAAGAAATATGAGACCTTATGCATCTTCCACAATATTTATTCCTAGATGTTTGATATGGAAATGAATAGGGTTAACTAGTTGTACTTTTCTGTCTCATACTTACTCTGTTCTTGAATTGCTATTGGTATTAAAAAACTATTTTACCTTAAATCAGAGATAGTGTGGATAGCAGTGCACTGTATGGAGGATCTCCAGAAATTAATAATTTAAAAAAAATATAACATAGTTTGCCAAACTTTTATAGTAAGATATTTTTGCACCTAATATTTGTATTTTGAAACAGAATGTTTATGAACATAATTTATAACTGTAAAATATTAAAATATCAATACCTAAGGAATGGTTACTGAGTGATATATTTCCTGGCTAAATGAAATGATAAAAAATTTAGGTATATGGCTTTAGTTTCGGTAGAAAAATCATACCAGTCACTGTGGTTTCACATACTTGAGAGTGGAATTAAGTGTCAGGGCTTATATCAGGGTTAAAGTAGTAAGACCTAAGAGTAGCCGGGTGTGGTGGTGCACACCTTTAATCCCAGCACTCCTGGAGGCAGAGGCAGGCGGATTGCTGAGTTCAAGACCAGCCTGGTGTATATATCCAGT